ATAAACAAATAGACGGTTCTCAGCTATCGTCAGCAAAGATAAACTTAACTATAACTCGTACAAAACAAAAGTTTCACAAATTCAGTTAGAGACGGCCTAGAGAGTTATTTTTTATTTCTAGTATTATTGCTCAATTATTCTGGCAGTTTGAGAATGCACAAGGTAGTATCTGGCATTATACATTAACAGCCCCATATTTAATCACTTTAGCTGACAAAAAGCAAACCTACAATTACATGTTGGTATGTAGAAAGTAAAGTAAATATATGTAGATTTGAAAAGTTTTTTGCAGCTTGTTATTATTGCATTAAATTCTGGTTTATAAACACGCTTCTATTATTAATATTAATAAAAGATAGGCTAACATTCTTGCAGCTTGTTATTATTGCATTAAATTCTGGTTTATAAAAACACGCTTCTATTATTAATATTAATAAAAGATAGGTTAACATTCTTGCAGCTTGTTATTATTGCATTAAATTCTGGTTTCTAAAAACACGCTTCTATTATTAATATTAATAAAAGATAGGTTAACATATATATATATATATAGTGCAAGTGAATATAGCCATCATAGTAATATTTTGCTAAATAATATATAATTAAACCCAAAATTTTATCTGTATCCTAACGCTTATTTTTACCTCTTCTAATGTATTTATATATTTCAAGGTCCCTGTACGAGACACGTTTTTCTAAACTTAACAATAGGAATAACATTACCTAATTAAACTTGGTAACTTTAGAAAACAGGTAGCAAATCACCCACAGAAGCATGCAACAGTTCGTATGTTCCAAAGTACACAAGAATTGCGTATTTAACTATATTTACTGAACTTACGTTCCATTTCATACTTTTTACTTATTATCATTATTTCATTTATAATTATAGGACTTTGGGCAAATTTCAATCACCAGGAAGGAATACATTTTAAGAGTTCATCAAATCTAAACACTAAAGATAATATATATACTGCACGGTTTCATTAATAATTCATTTATATGAAAAATTGCAATTCCTTTAGCGTTGTAAATTAAATGAGTTATTGAATAACTAAAACTTTTTTGTTAATGAATAAAATGAAGTTGGAAGTCATGTATGCATGATTGGTTTCTGTTTTCTAATACTAGTTAAGTTATTGTTCCTATGTGCAACACTTACAATAATTATACGAATTATAATATTTGAAAATCCAAAACGTATAATACACGACAAAACATTCATATCGCTTACAGAGAACCATTTATGCATGATCAAACTTGATACTTTGTTATATCATTATCTGAACAAGGTTTTCTTTAATCCGTAAAATCAGATGTGCATAAAGTTTTATGACGTAAATATTAAAATCGCCTTTACATAATTTTGAATACAGGGGGATGTTGTTGTTATATCCTATAAATGTATTTGCTTGTTTTAGCGTGAAGCTACACATTCAGCTACCTGCGTGGTGTCTACCAAGGGAAATAAGGTTTCGGATTTTAGCGTTGTAAGTCCGTAAACTCACCGCTGACACACTGGAGGCCAATAAGTGAGAGAAAATGCTTCATCAGTTCATGTAGATTGTAATACCGGTAAAATTAGTAATCACACGAATAATTAAATTATCGTTAAAATTATTTGGTTTTTGACGCAACGAAAATCATTTAAATGATTTTAAAATACTCTTTATTAAAGTATTTATTCGTTAAACTATCTTTAAACTCTACAAGCATCAGTTAATATATTTTTTAAGTTTTAAAGAAAGAAAAATTGTCAAGTAGTTTTAAAGAATAATGGTGAAAACTATATAGAACCATAAGCCACATGATTATTTTAATTAAATGTATTCCAATTTTTCACTTGAAATTGAAACATATGTATATTAAGCATAAGTATTAGGCCTATTTTACTTTTGTTTTTTTTTCAATACTACATTATTTAGTCAGTATCTTAATTTTTCTTTATTTCTTAAAAAAACGGCGTATTTCCTTAAATAATAAACATATCTGCGAACCAAAAGTTAAACTAATCCCACTCCCATGATTGTTTTTTTTACATTAAATCATCCTTTATTTACTTAATATTCAGAGTGCTCAAGAATATAAGAAAAGGTTTAGAAGAAAAGCAAACATATGCCATACTTTTAGCCACACATTTCTGCATAACTGATATATTTAAAAAGATATTCATGTATTAAATATTAAAGTAACTGAGCCAAAATACAATAACAAGTAGAACGAAATTTTAACAGCTCAAACTGTAACGATATCAGCCGAGATCAGTAACACACAATTCACATATATAACAACATGTAAAATTACGTCCGTCATCCCCAATTTAGGACGTTGACTCAGCAGCAGTTTTGATGGCTTATGATGCTAAAAATAAGGTTTATTAACTACTCGAGGTGGGCCCAGTACATCGTGTAGTTCTCAGACATACCGCTCAGATTAATGTCTTAAAAATCGGGTTTAAACGCTTTAAAATTTACTAACTGGATTAAATTTTTATGGATTTACTGGTACTTACACATTAAATTGGATTTGTCGTTGAATAATTGTACCCCCGGTGGATCAGTAGTAAGTTTACGAACTTACAACACTAAAACCAGGTGTCCGATTCCCTGCAGTAGACAGAGCGCAAATAGCCCATTTTATAGCGTTGCTCTAAAAAAGCTAGTAACGAAATTAAATAATTTGTTTTTAAACGTTTAGTTGAAGGTCCTGTTTTTCACCATTATAATATATGAAAAGAAGTTAATTTCAAACTATCTTGACTTTGAAATTTATTTTATTTTTATTGCTTTCGTTTTCCATGTGGCCGTAACATTCGTTCGTAGCACGCGGAACCAGCGACATGTTTCTTTAGATTTGTTAATAATAATGTAAAAATCCAGTAAGTACTTCAAAAAAATTAATGCATAAGAGCAAATATAATTCGTTTTATACCATAATGTTACAACTTTTAAACTGCAGTTTCAAGCAATTAATATTTTATTATCATTGGCAATTATCAAATCTAATATAATACTTTCCACTGATAAGTAAAGTAAACGCTTTAGCGTAATAAAAAACAACAACAGCAAATAATCGTTAATTAGCGATTACTTAACATCTATGATCTGAATATGAGCTGCATTATAATTCCTTTGAATTGTATTTCCATATTGGGGAACAAAAATCCCACACAACTAATTACGTTATTAGATTTAAGAGAAAAGTACTGATGAAACCATACATATTATTTGATAACACCATACAAAATAATTTAATATATGGCTGTTTGAATACACTAATACATACAAATACGTATATACATTCATGTTCATACAGCACGCTTACGATGGATTCTTACAAACAAACAATCATCAAGAAGAAACATGTATTATATAAATTGGAAAAAATAATATATCATTTCGACAGCTTTTAAACGCATACATAATACTATGGTATTATAGTGTTAACATTATAGGAATGCCATACCTCAAGTTTTAACAATAGTAACACAAGGGTTTGCTAACGGATAAGCTCAGACTTCTACTATACATCGAATGTTAGCGATAGTAGCACGAGGGTTTACTAATTGAAAAGCTTAAACCTTTAGCCATATTTTCATTTATCTGGAAAACTGTAACTCACAAAAGCAAGAAATTAAAAATAATTCGACTTTTCGTTCTATCGTTGACCTGAGCTTCGATTATTGCTTTGATTAGCCATTTAGTATTCAAACATATCTCACATCAATCATCGATACTAACGTTGCATACTGTTAGCTGACAGATATAAGATCCAGGAGGGGCAGGGGGCCTGGCCTCCATTTTTTGCGACAATAAAAAAATTATGTGCAAATATCCATTTTATGTATTTACAGACTCATCATGCCCATCTTTGGTCTGCATTCATTTTGTAACCGAATTCCTTCAGCCGTATGCAAATGTATGCTGAACAGAGAGGAGTAAAGGCTAGTAAAGCCAGTATAACCACCGGATCCTCCCCCCCCCCCATAAGCGCTCGCTGGCGAGTCCCTTCGCGCCCTGTTGTTGCCCTCCCCTCCCCCCTCTGGATCCGCCACTGCAGATTAAAACACTTTCATAAATCAGTTAAATCATTTTCCCACTCGTGATTCCCCTTCGCTTGAGTAAAAGTTTTAGACCCTTTGGCCTATAGTGAAAGGCCTAAGCAGGCGTATTAAAATTCGTTTCAAGGTATTTTACACACAAGTTTATAACACTAGTTTTCAACTTGTATCTATAATTTCAAACACATTTTCGTCGCTGAACCATCAGTTGTGCATTAATTGTTTCTCTACTTGTTCGTTTCAAAATTTCGCGGTCTGGGCGTGACTTAGTGGTCAGACCGTGTCATACTGTGAATACTTGGATTCATAGACCAGGTACGCTAACTAGTTAATCACGCCCGGCCCTGATACATGGAACGATATTTGTACGTTCTTTCGTGAAAAAACATTTTCATATGGTTAAACAAACCTTATGGAATCGTTTAAAAATGAGAATTGTTCTTCGTAATTGGTATTTATTTGAACATTACCCTTAGAACAGAATTCGTTTCATAAAGTAAAAAATAAATAAAAGTTATTTGAATATTATTCTAGTTTTAAATGGGCAATAAAATTTGTCTCCCGAGATAACGAAATATATTGTATTAGTTACTTTAGCCTAAAATGTACTAGATTTGTTCTAAAATTTATACTTTTGTGTAAGTTTTGTTTTGTTTGTCAGTTAATTTATTTGTAGAAAATTTCCATTTTTACGTCATTGATGGTACAGCATTTATTTTTCAACACCAAGGAAAATAACAATAATTCAACAATAAAAATTTCCAATCACTTGCTTTTGTTCTTACAGTCTGCGATGGTTTAGGTTTTGCTTTATTACATGAAACGTCTCTACTCAGATTCCCAACGACTAAATACAACGTTTCGTGAAACATATGAAATATTTACTGTTTATTAATTGATACATTTAAAGTTTTTTTGTGTGTGTTCATATAAATTTATAAGTTATTTAAGTTCAGTGATTGCCAAAATATCTAAAGTGTGTTTTAAAAATTTCTAAAAAATGCTCATCATTATTCATGTCTCTTTTTGTTGTGTTTCAACTAAAAGAAAGGTCTTAAAAGTCACCAGTCTTTAGGTATAACAGTAAACAAATCAACCGCTTATTGAATGTCGCTTAATTTATATTTTGTGCATTTTTCTGAACGTGTTTATATTAATTTAAGTGCTCGGGCTGGGAAATAGTTGAAATCAAAATATCGCCTTTTTCCTCTTGAACTCGCATTATGATATGGTGCTGCCCTATTGTTTTGAAAGTGAATAGTTTCTGAAGCCTTTTACTCAACCTTAAGAATTTAGGAATTTTCAAGAATAAGAAACACTAAACAAAGCAACTTCATTGTAGTTACTTAGCTTAAAGTGTTAGTTGCCAGAAACTTGTAGATAACCTCACAGCTTAATGTTAAAAAGCAGAAGACCACAAACTGTATACGACAAATAATACGGAAAAACTCAAACGATTTACAGGGTTCGCTGTTGGTCTCTAAGGGGCCAATTAGCAGTAATGGAACATAATTTTTCTCTCGTTTTTCCAGGTTAAGACCTCGTTAACGAAGGTGTGAAGGTAAGAAGAGCGTCAGCTTTCTTCTCCAGAGTCCGGGTCATCTACATTGGTTGCTTGGTTAATGCCTCGAATATGTACGTACTGCACTGTTTTCTTTTCGTCGGCTGTTGTCGCATCCTGCCACCAGGGATGAGCAAACAAACCCTCCACTTCTTCAAGCTGTTTTGCTCTGGTTTCTGGCAGCATGAGAAAAAAGTAGATCCAAGCCAGAACAGCGACACTCATGTAGAGCCAGAATATTCCTAAGTAATTTAGTAAATATATCTTAGAACTTGTATCTTAGTAATGTAATGAGAAATTAGAAAGATAAAAAAATTATACGTGATATTAAAGTAAATAAGCATAAAGAGAGAAAATGACGACAAAGTCTTTCATACATTTCTATATTTTTCGAAACTGATTGTTTAAAATATTAACTTCACAAACTCTTTTATACACTACTAAAATTTTTCGAAACTATTGTTTTTAAATATAGACTTCACAAAACATTTAATATATTTGTCTAAAAGTTTTCGAAATTTATTTTCTAAAACAGACTTCACAAAACCATGTGGAGAAAGAAATCAGACGTCTGAAGAATCTAAATATAATTTGTATCGTTCGTTTAAGTTATGAAACTGGAATTTCTTTCTAGGTTTAGACTTAGCAATAAAAGTTTTATCCGATCTGCTCGGAAATCATGTAAAATTAGAGGGTCATTCAGTAGAGTGTTGACCATATTCCGCTTTCAAAAAATACGAAAATGTGTCCGTATGTCCGTCTTTATAAACGGACATGGACCATTTTCGGCAGGATAATGATAAATAACATTCTACATAAGTCTACCCAGTTTTATCAAAATCCGACCATTCTTGACTGAGTTATAGAGTAAAAATAGTGTGAAAAATCGTTCCCCCATATTAACAGATAGGGAATTTTTGGATTTTCATGACTTTGCTGTGACCTTGACCCTCCAAAAACTAATCACTTCTAAGTTGGGTCGTAGTTCAAATATATACCAACTTTCGTCCAAATCCATTGAGCCGTTTTCGAGAAATCTTGCTGACAAACACACACATACACTGGTATGAAAACATAACCCTTCGTCCACCTTCGGTGTCGGAGGTGACAATCCTTTCCGTGAACGGCGAAACTTTTTAATAATTTGCAATTAATGATAATGCTACACAATGGGCTTTCTGTGCTCTGCCCATCGCGGGTATCGAAATACGAATTTTATCATTGTAAGCTGTGAGATATACTGCAAAGCCACCGAGGGGCATTTACAAAAGGATAACTATAATTGCAAACATACTATTTCAAATCAAACTAAACCTAATTAAGTCCAAGATTTTAACAAGCAACATCTGATAATAGCAAAAAAATAATGTAATTCACACGTAATATTATATCTGTTACCAATAGTGGCTTACCATACTTATTCAAGATTTCAGCAAAGCTTAGGAACGACATAAAAACCACAATATTGCTTAGCCAGTTCACGGACGCTGTAGTGGCACAACAAGTGCTTCTGGCCCAAAATGGGTAAATCTCCGAGTTCACTGTCCAGGGCATAGAACCCATACCTGGAAAATATTTAATACATGGTTTAGTGTGCCATTAATGAGTTATGACAGTGTAAATCAAACTTACAGAAATAAGAATCTAGATATTCAAAACGAAAAGCACGTATAAAGTAGCATAATGTTTAAACTAGTAAATGCGCATTAGGCGTAAACCGTACTTTTACCGATCTCTAAGATAATGCAGCAACTGTGAATTTTGATCTATAAGGATGAGATGTTTAAACTTATCTTGGACTCAACTGATCATACGGTTTTCGTTGCTATTATCTTTACGCACTTGAGTCTGCCTACCTAGTACGTCAAACCCAGAAAATACTTATGATCATAGACGTAGTGGGAGATTAAGGAGGCAATTGCCCTCCCCAAATTCTGGCCCAAATAGTTTTTCGGGCAAAAATCACTCGAAATATTTGGACAAAAGCTCCATACCTATTTATAACTTTTATATTTGCAAACTGATTATACCTTTTCAGAAAATATATTACCACACGTGACATTTTCACTTGCACCTTTTTAACCCTTTAGCGCCGTATGGAAGTCATTGGAACCATTTTTATAAAGCGACTTTAAACTTTATAGTATATTATTTTAAAGTCGATTTAATATTTTCGGGCAAAACTTGCTTGCCCTCCCCTCCGGTCAAAATCAAGCCCCTACGCCTATGCTTATGATCAAAGAATCATATAAAAAGTAACACAAAAAAAGAAAGAGATTGATAGGGCCGTGCATAATCTAATGGCTAGCGTGCTGGGCTGTGTATCGGAAGCTCCAAGATTTGTGTCAGCGAAATGCCAATGAACATGCTCTGTACGTTCAGCTTTAAGTACGGTATAAAAATGGCAGTCGTTTAGGCAGCTTGTGCTGCTGACTCGTCTTCTTTGCGATATGCAGGAATATCGTATGTCTTCTAACTGATTTAGTTACATAGGATTTTTTTAACTTTACATTATCTAGGTTATATGCAATTTTAGCATCAACACGAGGTCCAAAAGTTGTTGAGGTTGCCTTATTCTAGTTGTTTTGTTTTCTTGTTTTCTGTAGAATCTTTTCTGCCAGATAGGACACTGTCATATAGTATCCAAGTTGAAAAGAATAGTGAGTGTAGTTAAAATCATAAGTAATATTCAATGTTAAACTGGTACACAGTTAAAAACATTTTATTTAGGCCTATTTATGGCCTTCAAAAAGTTGACGAGTCTACATGTTTCGACGTTTCAACGTTACAAC